AAACGATTTAGATAGAAACGCATTAATCCAGTTTCACTGTAAAGTCACGTCTATTATAAGTTTATTTATTTGTTCTTTGAATAATACCACATGCGTAAAATATAAGTTGACCTGATGTCTAAGCGTAAATCTCACATTTAAGGAATCAAAAGACCTAAATTCGAAGACTGATTGTAATATGTCCGTATTTCCGTTTCTCAAAACTGTCTGCACCAGATGGACTAACTACATGCTTACGTACAGATATAGAAAATATTATATAAACCATGGTCATATATCGAATTAAAATATCTTACCTGTCGTCAATGAACGAACAGTTATCTTTAATTTGTGACTTCTGTATCTAAAGTCAATAAAAACAAATACGTAAACAATATTCGTGCAGTGTAGGAAATTTAAAATTAATTTGTGCGAGCTTTAGAAATAGAGGGAAAGCGAGGCTCGCCGACCTTTTCTTGCGTTTCGTAGCGAGTGCAAATAAATTGTATGGTTGATCCTGCAACTAAACATGAGCTTAAATGATAGTTATTTTACCTCTCAACCGTTGATTTTTGTTTAATGTAATCGACATGTTTAACCCCGCCACATTCTTTATGTGCCTGTCCTAAGTCAGGATGTAAGTCAATGGTAGTAGTTGGTTCATGTTTGTCATATTTGTTTTTTCGTTGATCCATTTGTTATAAATTAGGCTGTTAGTTTTCTCCTTCGATTGTTTCACATTTTTCATTTTGGGCCTTCTATAACAAACTATTCGATTGTTTCACATTTTCATGCTGGGCCTTTTATAGAAAACTATACATTATGGGTTTTCTCGTTGTTGAAGGACTTACGGTTGCCTATAATTGCTTACATCCGCTTCATTTTAACTTTAATGGATATTTGTCTCATTGGCAATCATACCACATCTCCTTATTTGTATATGAATTAAACGCGGACCATGATCTGGATCTCAAATTGTACTGTGGTGAAAACAATAATTTGAAAATAATCGTTCGCTCGCAACAGAAGCAAAAGACCAGGAGACTATAGTACATCGCTTCGTGTCATCTGTACCCCTGTACTGATAGTAGAAAGGTCGATTGGTGGATAAAATCTGTTCACACTATCAATCAAAATCGTCCTAGCTTTTATCGTCCTATGGCGTAAAAGGATATTTACTATTAGCTTATGACGTTTTTTGATGATGTTAACATTTTTTTTTAACTTTAAATGATACGTATAAAGATCACCAGATGGACCGAATAACGTTATGAAATACGTGTAGTCAAGTTTTAGTGATAACGGGGTGAACAACCTTCTCCTTTGACACTTTTATCTAGTATAATAATTGTAAATAGTTTTCTTTAACCTTTTAGACCTTATTGTATGTCACCTAATTTTTATATTTTCCTTCACTGATTAAAAAAGAGAATATCACACTGTCTGCTCTTTTTAGGACACACGACACAGTTACAGGGGAGGTAATGACGTTGCTAACGTAAAATGTTATTTTTCACGATTTCAAACTGTAATATATCGGGAAAAGATGCATTTTCGACTATCATTCAGACTGATTTAAATTGAAAACGAGTTCATGAACCCCTCTATTTAAAAATGACATTTGGTTTGATTATGTATGAAAATTATTTGTGCCAATTTTTATGATCAAATCACCGATGATTTTGTTTTTAAATAAAATGCCATTGCAACAACACTTTCAGGATTCCGTAAGTTCCCTGTCACAAGGGAACCTGTTTGTACCTATCCAACTTACCCTCATTTACCAATAAAGTCGAACTTCCGCCGTTCATCCTTGTCCACCTACTTGTACGAACCTACCATTTGGGTTAATTGTTGATTTGTTTTCGTCTTGAATATAAATGAAATATTTGCTACTGGATTTTAAGCTAAACAATTGCAATGGAAAGTCCTAAACATATTGAGGATACAAAAGAAAGAATAGTGCGCAATGACATTATATAATGAAAAAGTTTCATTAGATACTGATAAGGGTTTTATTAGGATAAGCTGTTACAAATGTTCTTTTTTGTGGCCATTACAAAGGACAAACGGACAAACACCTACTGTCACTACATATATATAACATCTGCTTAAAATAGCGTGACTATGGTTTCTCGGTGTGTCATTTTTCTATCGATGTAGATAGATGGGATTGATTGAGCTGAATAGGATTTAATGTTGATTGACTGTGAAATATTAAGACAAACATACTTATTTTCAGAATAGAAGTACATGTATGATAAGATTGCTGACCACACTACACATGATTAAAGAAGTACCTTCAACAGGTACACTCGGAAACAAAAGTTGAGAAAGCAAATATGATACGGAAAACCCAAAGGGTACTAAACAGAACAGCCAAAGTAGTCATCCATGCCTGAGTGAGTTCCAACCATATTTTTATGGCAACTGCATAATTTAGAAGTGGAAATTTACAGACAAAGCATGTTTTAAATCAAATGCCAATAATCGACCCCTCCCCCTTTTTAGAGAAGAAAGGTTGCATCTTGCTGAAAATTAAATATAACATGTAGATTAACATCATGTAAAAAGCGTAAAATGAAAAGCGAAGCGGATGATACCAAAAGGAGAATTAAAACTCATAGAGAGAATGAAAAAAATCGGGAAATGACAAACAAATGTCTACAAAACACCACACAAAAAAAACTATATGGAGTAACATGAACCCAACATCTCCAGTGCTTCGGAAGGGTAAGCAAATCCTGCTCAACACATTGCACCTGTCGTATTGCTCATAGTAAGTTCAAGTTTGATGTGATATCTCATTGGTTGGTGAGAGAACGGCTACGACAATTGGAACATATGTGTGGTCATCTCCGACACAATTGATTCGTTACGGTCAACAAACCCACGATGGAGCCCGTAAAACTTGCAAGGGATGACACCAACTTTACCACTATGAATCCTTTTTCAAATTCTTTCCTTTTAAGATGTAACCCTCTATCGAGGAATCATAAAAGAAAACGCAAGCTCTAGAATATCGTAAAATCTAGGAGTTATATACTCCATATGCAGGCGCTGCTGGAAAGTTCCTACATATAAATATAAAATTCACAATTGGAAAGCTGACATCATATCTTTTGTCGTAAAGTTTTGTTCTCAACCGTTCCTCATTATCAATTTCTAGATGCAAGTCTAGATATGATACAGACGTAATTGTATCTGTTGTATAAGTTTTGAAGTCATATTGGACAGATGAGTTCAGCATAGTCACCAAAGATTTACATTTTTATGAGGACATCATCTATATAGCATGACGCAAAGTAAAAGGCTATAAATCGTACTTTCTTGTTTATTTGACCTGCTGATACTAATTGTATTGCTTTTTTGTTATTTAATGTTATTCAGGGTTATATCTGGTCTATATACCAGCTTTGATAAGTGTTTGGTATTACTATAAATTTTCACTTCGTACTATGAACATCAATATTATTTATTTTGTAAAAGTATTTTCTTTCTCTATTGGAACTGTACACGTATATCTAACAACAAAATTATTTTCATTTATCTGTGTTTAAAGTTATTGCAAATGGCTGATACTTTTGTTCGAGCATATTGTTTTTCTTTAATTGTTTAACATTTCATACCGATATTACATGTTACTTTTATTATTCTTCCCTTAGTTTATTTATTTTGTATTTACATTGTATCATAGGTCAAATTTATTTGTTCAGTGTATGTTCAATGGTGTTAATATGTCCTTTGATTGAGTTAAGCTATTTCAGTTGATATCTTATAGTGTGTCTTTCTATGTTGTGATGTTACACTATTGTTTCAGAAAAAGGGTGAAGGTTTGGTACCATTGAAACGTTTAAACCCGCTGCATTTGTTTGCACCTGTCCTAAGTCAGGAATTTGATTTTCAGTAGTTGTCGTTTGTTGATGTGGTTCATAAGTGTTTCTCGTTTCTCGTTTTTTATATAGATTAGACCGTTGGTTTTCCCGTTTGAATGGTTTTACACTAGTAATTTTTTGGGCCCTTTATAGCTTACTGTTCGGTGTGAGCCAAGGCTCCGTGTTGAAGACCGTACTGTGACCTATAATGGTTTACTTTTATAAATTTTGACTTGGATGGAGAGTTGTCTAATTGGCACTCATACCACATCTTCTTATATCTATATAATGCTAGATTCTTTTATTCTTCCTGATAAGTTAATGTATGATGTCTGTCTAAGATGAATACAAGAAAAAGAACACATTTAGATTTCATATGAATTTCGATTGTCTGTTGAAAAACACGTCCTCCAAAAGTAACAAATATATTGTCAATGAAAAATCAAGCATCTTGCTGATATCAGTTTAAGAAAATGTTTTGTTTGAATCAAAATGTTCTTTCTACAAAGAAAGGGTTTGTTGCTAATTTGAATAGTTTTTAATGGGTTTTAATAATGTATTAGAAAATCAAAATAGTTTTTCAAAGAAACGACTACTCATTGCTGTAGCAAATACATTTTCTGAATACTAGTCAGTCTTTCTAATATCCAAAATGATTCATTTGCAATTAAGTGTAAAAGTCTGAAAGCAAACATGAAACAACTCTTTAACGAAATGGATAGTATAGCCCTATTTTTTTTAAACATATGTCTGATGAAGAAAATTTAAGATTAATTTTAATATTTGACGAGTATGACATAACTAATTTTTTTCTTATAGGAGAAAACGATTTATATGTACTTAGAAATGAAAAGAGCCGGAAAATAGCAATAGAACATTCAACACGCAGTTGACGGAAAACTGACAACACCATGGCAAAATATTAAAACGACCTAAAGACGAACAAAACACCACATAAAATACTTAAGACCGAGTAACACGAACCCCACCATAAACCGGGTAGTGAACTTAGGTGCTACGGAAGGATGGAGCAGTTCCTGCTCCAAGTATGGCACTCGTCGTGTTTCTAATGCAAGTATAAATCTGGTGATAACCAAAAAAAAAGTACAAGTATATTATACAAGAAAAAATTTATTTACAATTGCATTTATGTTTTTTTTTTTTTTTTTTTTTATATCAAAAAAATTGTAGAACTCATACATATTTTCAACTTAAACTTGACAAACGTATCATCTCCTTCGACATTCTATATACATATGAACTTAAGATAGGTATTTGTTGTCTTTGTTGCATATATATTATTATCAACATGGTTGTCTATGTATTTTTTGGATATCTGTTAGTACATGTACTGGATTTGGTATGCCTTGGTAACAATACTGTATTTGAATTTTGAATGTCTTGGTGGCGATGTTTATTTAAAACCGTGCAATAAATGAAATGGTCTGAATTGATGTGCTAAATGCAAATTTGGACCAACAAGGTTTTCAATGTCTGCCTAATATTATAGTTTTTGAAACGTGTTAGAAATCAGTTATCAGCCATATGAGTTGACACATCTTGATCAACATTTGACCCTTGTCTAAATTTCATTAATCTGCGATCTTCGAGTTTTTTAATGAGCGGTTCACAAAATATTACAATAGAAGCAATAAGAAGTGCTGTGCCCATGACATAAAAGGACACTGTGTATGATCCTGTTTGGTCTCTTATATAACCTACAAAATAAAAGTTAAAAAGTTAAAAAGTGTTAATAATTCTGTTATACAAAGAAAAACTTTAAAAAAAAAATATGTACTGGCCAAAGTCAAACCAAGAAGAGTAAAGCATTATTTCTTTAACTATACAAGAACATACAGTTATTAGAACGTAGTCCAATTGCAACTTATAAGTTATGATGGGTTACATAATGCCATTGAGATATATACGAGGGTAATTGTGTGTGGATACGGTTTGTTACATCAATATCTTCCTAGATATTTATGTACATCTGAAACCTTTTATAGACGTTTAACAAAGTTGAATATTATCATTATAACTATTAGACCTGTCATATATCAACATATATACATAAAAGTTGTTTTAAAATACTTGATTTAACATGTTAAATGCTACACATGTCTGCGCCTCTAAAAAAATAATACAAACATAAATGGTCTTTTTTGTATTATTTTTAATAAAGTCGCATAATGACGTGGACGTATTATTATTTTCTGTTTTCAGTCACGGTGACATATCTCAATTTTATGTAATTTTGCTTTCCATATTTGTAAGACGGATGATGCAAGATCTTCATTTGAAAAGAAATATCTATCGACGCTACAAATGAATTAAACAACGCAAAATAGATAAATAATAATACAGGTACACATTTAGCCAACAGTAACCGTAGATTACCGATGTTCAAATCTCATAATCGATTTTAAAGATTCAAATTCAGGTACCGAAACAAACATGCAGAAATCGCATTAACTCCCAAAAAGAAGCAAGACCGGGTGCTGCTATGCATTCATCAGCTCTTTCAAGTTTATATAAGGTTTTGGATTGTCAAATATTTTTGCATCGGGCATCACTGAAGAGACATAAATTGTCGAGATGAACATCTAGTGCAACACAATTGGTATCGTCTATGTTATTACAGTCGATTTTTTTCTTAATTAATAACCATACTCACCAAGTAAAGGTGCAAACACAATGGATGAAATGCCATGGATGAATATCTGTAAGGATAGTGCCGCAGGTAGCTTATCTGGACCAACACCTTCCCTCATCAACATTGTCATCAAAGAGAAATATAAACTTCCGAACAGTCCATAGATTACGGAGTATATGGCGAATGTTTGAAAATTTGTATAGAATGGATTGAATAACGTTGCTAATCCTGTTACACACAACGAAAATGATAATATATTTTTTCTTTTTATTTTGTTGGAGTCTATCACAATTCCGAGTAAGATTCGAGATACTAGATCACACACACCATTGATGGTTAATAGAATGGCTAACCTATCTTGAGTGATCCCATTGTCACTCGCGAAAGCTGGAATGTATGCAACTATAAAAGCTAATGCGAAAAACGAAAGAAATGCTGCAAACAGTGCCGACTGTAAACAATGGTTTTTCAAAAGATCTAGACCTAGCAAATCATGGCATGATAGTTTAAATGAACCTTTTTGCTTAAAGGGTTCATCATCGTCTTCGTACTTTTGCTGTAAGATACCAACACTATGCATTGAAGAAAACGTTTCTGCTGTATCTGTTGTATTGTATATGTTTAGTGCACTTCTAGAAAGTGTTTTGAAGAAGTCTTGAAGAGATGTTTGAAAATGAACATCTTTTTCGGTGGCACCATTATCATGACTTTCAGATTGAGATCTTGGTGTTTTCAAATGATATTTTGATTTCTTGTCACTCGGATGACTTTCATTGTCCACGTGACTCTTTACATTGCTATCTGAAACGGTAAAATCTCTTTTAAATGTTGATTTTAGTTCTTGCTCAGGATCAAGCAGCTCTTGAAGTAATGCATCTTTCCGTGTGCGTTTTTCCACTTTAGGTTCAAATGGTGACCTTACTAACGCACCAGAAATGACATTATTCAGATGCATCCCAGAACAAACTAACAAAGCACCTTGAAGGCCATATTTATCCAACAAAGTTTGAATCAAGAGAGGTAAGGTAAAACTACCAATGCATCCACCCACCATTGCAATACTGTATGCTATGCCAAGCCTTTTTTCGAAAGACGCATTTAAGACTACAAACAAAGGTCCTGTAGTGAAAGCACAACTTAAGCCTAAAATGAAATAACATGTAAATGTGTTACAAATTTTTGGATTTTTTTTATGTTTCATCCTGTCCAAATATGTTTTAAACGATTTGATTAGGTGTCATGAGTTTGGTTGGATATTTTTGATCTTATGACTGACAGTCCTCAAAGGATTGAATCCAATGCCAAGAACACACATTCTTAAGAGTAATCACTAACGTTTTACAAAAGCTTTAGTCCATAAACCCTCAATATGAGCCAACTTTGGAAAGGTTATTACTATACTTTAAGGTCCCTTTCTAAGTACAGATATGCTTATTCCTGCTGATACTTTTTAATCCAGACAAAAAACAATGAGAAAGCAGCAAATTCAGAGTAATATACTAGGTTTTTGATATCCAACAATATTTCGTGCTGACAACATATTTAGGTCTGTGTAAAATTAGCATCATCAAGGAATTCGACTTATGAACGAATATTTGCTTGCAATGAGTGACCGCGGACGATTATTTTGACTGAGATATTTTAGATACAACTGTCATTTATGGAACACTTAAGGGCAAATTCTTTTTGGTGATATTCGTGTTGTTCTTTGTTAATTTTCCTTTGCTATCCTATTCCTTTTTAAAGTAAATCTAATTACAACTTACCGTATACAATACCATGTGAAAATACTAAGAATGTAATGCTTGGAGAAAAGGCATTCAACATATATCCAACTGATGATAAAATGGCACCGATAATAATTATCGTCCTAATAGAAAACATTTTAGTTCCAATATTTAAGACGAATAAAGCTGAAACGAGACAAACAGTATTGACTTTCTCTTACATTATCTTTAGTTTTATCTTCATTGTGCATTATACAAGAATATTATCAATTAATTATCTAACAGAAGAACGTAAATTGACAACTGTGAAGTAATGGTAGGGTCAGGTCTAGCTGTGATTGGAGTTTGTTCGATTCCATCATGTTTTGTGTCGATTTGTTACTATATATTTTAGTGAATTAAGGGATTTTAACATCAATAAAATTCCGTCAACTATAATTTATCGCCAGATGTCGTGTCGATAAAGTGGCGACTAAATGTAAGAAGCATTAATAAATACAAACGTGATGTCTGTTTTGACTCAAAAGGAACTTATACTCACACTCGATATTTATTTGTCTTTCTATTAGATTGTTTTCGAGTGCCACTGACGAGTCGTATATCAACATCATATGCGACTTATAAAATACATTATAAGCCTGGTAGATTTTACATGGTATATTTACGTACGTAAGGAATTTCAAATGGATGAATATTACATATGTTCAGTTTGTTGGTGTTTATCTTGACTGGTCTTACTTAATTTTTTTTGAATGACGACATGTGCATCTGTCCCATATCATCTCCTTTCCAACGCCATTGACAAAATGTGCAAATGAATGGAGATAATATATCTAGAGTTGCCATTTTTTTATTTCAGTATGAACATGCCAAAACGGCCTCTAATTCGTAAGTTAAAACGGTTATCTTTTATTTGTTCATAAATGCGGACTCGTCGTAAACCTCTTAAAGGACCAGGTTATTTTAAAGCTTTAAACACTAGATACGATTGAACGCACTTGTCGATGCTGTTGTTAGATGTTTTTGCTTGTTTTATCGTGTTAGAGGATTGATGTCTTATTATCGTTAACCCCAAATCTAATGTTTTCATTTTCTGTATTTAGTCTGTTGGTATTTTAGAAGAAAAAAATAACGATTATTTCTTATTACCTTTGAAAAAAAACAATCAAATTTTGAATGGCAATAAATTCAAACATCAATTACAAATACGACATAGACACAAAGAGTCTGATGATCAGAATAAGGTCTTAAATTACAAAAAATCATGTTTATTTTTTTTTCTCTATTGTGTTTTTCACGTTTTTTCATATTTATATATTTATTATAGAACATGCCAGTATTTATATTTATGTATTGTTCAATAAGTGTATTATTTGTGTAATAGGAGACAGATATGTAAAAGGAAATTTGCTTGTTTCTGAAACTTAAATATTTATTTCAATTGTATTATTTCGTTATGTGATAATTTATCTGAATAAATATTGTTTAAACTAAGGTCTTAAAATCCTTTAAAAACGTTTCATCAGAGATGTCAAACAGAGAAGATGCCATACATATTACTTTTGTATATTCCATATAGTAAAGTTGAAAGCCAAGTATGGTTGTTAAGGTTTGTAATTAGCATTTCACTGCCCACACCATCACAAGAGCGGAAGGGAAATCCGTAAATATAGGACTACAGACAGCAACACAATGACCAAAGGTTTATTTAAATAAAGAAGAAATCTCACTTTCCTTTGGAATATCACTATAAAAACACGCGAAATAATTCAGCAATTGCATTTCGAAACAACTGAGAATAAGAATTCTTTATAATACGGAACAGATGGAACACACCACCAAGGAAAGAAAACAAAAACCAACAATAGTTAGTCCTTCCGAAATATGAAGTACTAATATAGTTTGTTATAAGAAAATTAAGAATTATCGAACCAAAAACAACATTCTTTAATCATTTTCTGTCTTTGCAATTGATGTTCTTTTATAAGTTCTATTACTGGAAAACTCATTAAAGATACCAGGCTTATAATATTTCTTCCTGAAAAAGGAACTGTAATGACTTTTACAAGTATAGTTACACTAAAATCTACCAATAAACTCATCATACATGTAGATACCAGGATTAGGCTTTTGTACGCCAGACGCCCGTTTTGTCTGTAAAAGACTCGTCAGTGACACTGATCAAAAGATCATTTTAGTAAACACATGTTACCAAAAAATGTACAAAGAGGATGTGTGTCTGATAATTAAATTAGTAACACTGAATTGATAATGTGTTAGTTTTCAATACTACTTTGTAGCAATTTACAAATGATGTATGCCTACTTTAAACAAAAAAACTCTTACCAAACTGGTGCCGTCTTGATAACGAAGTGAGATATGAGCCAAATTTTAATTTGAGATGACGGACAACAATTAAAGCGCTTTGTTTTCGGTTTAGAGTTTGCGTTTATTAAATTTTATAGGAATAGGATAGAAATGTAGTGTCGCATATAAGTACACCGTTTCCTTTTTCCTTTAAATAAATGAACCTGGCATGGCCGTAGGAACTTGAAAAATTTTCATCTAAATACATTAAAATTGTAAAGATCAAAATGGTTCTTTTCAGAATAATATTGACTGTTTCCCTGTGTTTTATTCTTACATGAGATGCTAGTCACTAGCGTTTGTACAGCAATAATTACCGACGTCATAGACGAACTGGTTCCATAAACATCTATAAATTGTACGAAGAAAAGTCCAAAGGATTTAGCAAATCCCACAAGTAGAAACACGTGCAGAGAAGTTGCTGAAAAGGTAAATTAATATAATTTATTCAGTGAAATAAGTATTGTATTGTTATAAGTGCATGAAAATAACTGAATAATTTGACAGAGATATTTTATCCTCTATTATTTCCCTGTACTCAGTATTCATTTATTTTAGTACTTTTGCAAAGAATGATGAAGACGTCGCACAATAGTTGTAGTCTTTTACATATTAGTTGACGTTTTACTGTTTTCTTAGTTCTAGTAGTACAAGTTAATCAAGTGATTCTTGTTTAAGATTAATTTCTGTTGCCTATTGATACATACCTGTCGTTTTCGAAACTGAGAAAGCCTGTACTATACACAGTTTAAAGGTTAAACATTATTTGCATGAACTATGTGTGCAATATTATTAACAGTTATTGTACAAACTCAATGAAATCGAAGAGAACATCATTTGCTCTGTTTGACGTTTTGATAACCTGTTTCCGAAGCGGGAACCGACATTTACAAAATAAGAAGACACAGTAAAGGATTGTTAATATTTCCAGAGGTATATCTGGTGGATCGTTGTTTCATTAGCAATCACACCACATCCCCTTTTGTACATGCAAATATCGTTAAAGTTCCTTTTTTACTATGGAAAAGAGCACGTTACAGCATTGGTCAGATCCAGTTATTTTAGTGCATAGATATAGGAAGATGTGGTATGAGTGCCAATGACACAACTCTCCATCCAAGTTACAATTTATAAAAGTAAACCATTATAGGTTAAGGTACGGCCTTCAACACTGAGCATTGGCTCACACCGAACAGCAAGCTATAAAGGGCCCCAAAAAACTAGTGTAAAACCATTCAAACGGTTTGTTTGAAAACTTGTCGTTATAGCAAGTTTACAATGTATGAATACAAAATAGTATAATGCTTATCAAGATTATAACTGCTAATCAGAACATTTGTTCAACTGGAATGCTTTTAAAAATATCACTGGTTAAAAACGGACTGTGCTATTTATTTGCGTAAATCCAAGAGATGCACAGATGGTCCTAAAATTCTATCATTTATGAATGTACAATTAAAAGTATATGTCATTGTATATCCACTCATTGCTTCACTTCATCTCGTGATCATCTCATCCTTCCGAAGAACCTGAGAACATACTCGGTTTTCGATGGGGTTCGTGTTACACAGTGCCTAGTTTCTTTGTTGTTTTTTATATACTGTTGTTTGTCTTCACGTCGTTTATTTATTTTCTGTCATGGCGTTGTTAGCCTGTCTTAAACTTTGAATTGAATATCATTCGCCTCTCCTCACACAAATTAAGCTCTGGTTAGTACTTAAATTCATTTAATTCTGAGTCAACAAATTATGAACCTTGATTCTACACACTGCTTGATGTTTGCAAAAACTTTCTTTGGCAATTTAGTCTCGTAAATTCCGCAATTTCTGGTTATAAGTGAAGCCTTTAACATCATATTTACTGATATTCTTTCTATTAACAATCTAATATTTTTTTAACGGGTTCCATTATTATATCCACCAGAGCTAGAAATTAAAGAAACAACAGACACGACTTCCCCCGCCTCATTTTTAGATTTATACCTCGAATTTGACATAAGCGGTCATCTCTGTACCAGAATCTATGACAAA